TTAAAACAACACCAACTGTCCAGAGGAGTCGACGGCTTCGCGGCGAAATTGGCGCCGAAATATGACGGACCGTTCCGGGTCCTAATGTTTATATCGCCGAACATCGTACGGATCCAGAGGCCCGGGGAACGTAAGAGGAAAGTGGCCAACATTGCAGAGTTGAGAGAATTCCGAGACGATGAGACAGGGGAAGGCGAAGAAGTAACGTATAACGAATACCTTCCTAACTAACATCAAGTATCTTAAGATTGTAACTAGATATAAGGCGTTTATTGTAAGCTGCACCAGTAGGCAGGGAAATCTTAGGGTCAGTTATATAAAGTAAGTTATCTACCCACTACAGATACTATGGAAGAAGGAGTGTCAGACTGCACTCAAGAGTGCACCGGCGGGGATGGCGAGATAGACGACGGGGGATCCTCACCTTGGCGGAGACGGAAGATAGCGACGAAGAGGCTGCGACGGAAGCAGAAGGGGACAACCCATCGTGCTCGAGTGAGCCACCAGACGAGTCAACCCGGGGCACCTCACTTGGGAGTACATCCCCCCGGGATGCGTCTCCACGGTACGCATCTCCCCGGTATGCGTCCCCACGCTACGCGTCTCCCCAGTATGCGTCACACCGTTACGCGTCCTCGGAAAGAAATCTCCTCCCTCGACATATAGGGGTTACCAGCCTTTTCCACGCGGGCGATGTCATTCCCCTCACCCAGCATCCATTGCCAACCTGGGGGGCATGAACCCCGACACGCCGACTACTCACCCACCGGAGGTCGCTCGCGTGACCCCAGACGAGGGCAATGCGTATACCAGCGGACAACAGAGACCACGGTGGACCGGTACAGGGAGTCACAAGAGTCCGAAGAAGAGGAGGATGAAGACAGCGAGTGGACTGCCAGCTTCGTTATGGAACGAGAGGACTACCACTGGGCGACAATCTCTGGGGGATATCGGGTCACCCAAGTCCGGCAGGTTACGATAGACATAATTCCACCACTAGGACAAGGTCCGCGTTCCAGTTTGAGGCAAACTGCGGCAGAATTCGAGCACCTCCCCTGGCTGCACGAGCGGCATAGAGAAATGAGTACTCCAACGAGAACACCCAGGCGTTCCGGGAACACACGCCCCCAGGAGGAAGGCGACAATACCATGCAGAGTCGCGAGGAAAATCGGAGCACAAGACAGGCGACAAATGACGAACAAGATGCCGCTGAGGGAACCGGAGTCGCACGACGCCGTCGGGTACGCCCGCGGAAGTATTGCACCTGGGACTCCATCCCATCCGAGGAAGACGAGCAAGATGACGACCAACCGCTCCTAAGGGGTAGTCGTCCGTGGGAAGTTTCCCAAGATACTAGCTTCCCGACTCTAAGTCTCCGACGACGCAACTCTAGGGCCGCGACAATTGAGCCCGAGGAAGCCCAATCTATACCAGAGGCGGAACACGGAACAGAGGCCGGAGTACGACCTGGACGAGATCGATATCGATGGAAAGCTAGGTCTGGAAAACGTCGAAGAGGGTTACGGCGTAGAGCAGTTACTCGACGACATCGAGGCGCTAGTGCGAGCCGCTACCGAGACCCCTCGACGGGCGTTGTTGAAAGCACCGGAGACCTGGAGGGTCTACACGCCTGGTCGTATGCTCCCGGAGGAGTTAGTGGACGAATTGTCGAGATTGGTGTCGCAAGGACCAAAGAGGGATTTTTATTGGCTTTAAGAAAAAAACAATGGATTAAAAAATTAGTATAATAAGCCTAGGTGTAAGCAAACATAAATATATTATTCGATAAGTAGAAGGGAGAGAGGAGAGTAGGGAAGAGAGGCGAGGCCGGGAACAACTCCTAGGTAGTTGCTTAAGAAATTCACCCCAAAAGAGCACGAGAGAGCAGTAAACGACCTAAACGGAGCCCAAATCCCACCTCAGCGACTGCGCGGTCGACTACAACGAAGCGCGAGAGGGAATATCAAAAAGCGAGCTTGGCAAAGCAGAGGAGTTGCTGTTGCCGAGAAGTTCACCACTGCGACTGCCCGAGTTCTATCATAGTTATTAGTAGCGAAGCACAGGGTCCGCCCGAGCTTTACCGTAGTTATTAATAAAACCCAGGGTCCGCCCGAGTTTTATCGTAGTTATTGGTAGCGAAGCCCAGGGTCCGCCCGAGCTTTATCGTAGTTATTAATAAAACCCAGGGTCCGACCGAGTTTTACCGTGGTTATTAATAAAACCAAGGGTCTGCCCGAGTTTTATCGTAGTTATTAGTAAAACCCAGGGTCCGCCCGAGCTTTACTGTAATTATTAATACAACTCAGGGTCCGCCCGAGTTTTACTGTAGTCATTATTACCCACGGAGCCCGCTCGAGAGTATCGTATTTAGTAGTAAAACCCAGGCCCCTACCCGAGTTTTATCGCAGCCAAACCCTGCCTCGGCCAGATTTATTGTAGTCACAGATAAAGCCCATAACTGACATAGATTTCTACGATAGCCAGGGGCTGCCCGAGCTCGGTAACCGGTCTTAGGTCTAGTCACGTAGCTTCTGGTTCTATTTTCTTTCCTAATTATAAAGAGCACGCCTCAAAACTCACTCGATTAACCCACATCGTCCACTGTAAATTTATAAATATTTTGTGGAGGCCCTAGCCAACCCCTGAGCATATCCTGGCTGGGAAAACATCCTTACAAAGCTTTAAAAAATGGAATTTACTGAGGACTTTTTTGGGAAGAATGTAAATAAATATTCGATTGAAAAGAAACTTTCAGGGTGTATTATTATATACATATTTCAACAGTCTTTTCAAATTGTTTCATTAAATTATATGTCATATTATGCCTGGTATAAACATTTCGCCGAGGCGCCACGTGCGCATGTGCCGTGCTGCGGGAATGATGCAGGTCGCGATTTCCATCTGAAACAAAAAAATATTTTGAATTTTCATTGTATAGTTAAAGCAAGAAAATTGATCAAAAAGTGAGAAATTCAAAACAATACTTCATATTGTTTAAAAAAGGTTTAACTAGAATATTATTTAATCCCAAATACAATAAATTTTGTCTCGTTTTGATAGGACGTTTAATTTTACCCTATCTTCCCGGCAATTAGGAAAAATCGTATAAATGAATAATCCGAGAAATCGCACATCAAAACGATTTGGCCGCTCGTATACCTTCTCGACGCTTGCTGACTATTTCTCCTGTAACTTTAAATCATTTTGAATTTCCTTTTGAATTTTTTGGGACACATTCTTAGATAGTTTGGGTAGACATGTATGCAAAAAAAATTAATTTTTTTAAAAGTTAACCATCCGATAATAAAAAAAATTTTGTTTTTGACCGTACTTAGCAGATGTAAATAACAAATAATGATATGAAATTATAGTGCAATAATGTGTTGTTAAAATTCTACTAATGAAAGTTGGGCCACATGAAAAAAGCTACAAGAGGCGGCAGTGGTACAGGATGTTGTGAGGAGTTAAATAACTCCACACAAATGGAAGCGAATTTCCTGGATACGCGAGAATACAGTTGACGAGAGTTTGGAGAGTACGAGGAAAAAGAGTTTGAATTGAAGGACTGGAGAGAGACGAGAGAGCGCCGGCGCACCGTGCTCGAAGGGATACGGGAGAAAACAGCGGACAATGTCACTCCGTCAATATCAGTGAATTATCGAAGTCAAAGAACCAAGTCAAGCAGCAGCAACACCAACAAGCCAGCAACAACAGATCCAGTCGTCCGAAGCAGCGCCGTGGGAAGCCAACAAGGAGCAAGATCGCTACGTCGAGAAGTTCGGGATTGGGGCATCACGGATCTCCGAATTGAGTCCCAGGTAGCTGAAGTCCGGAAGGCAGACGATCGATTTTTTTTTCAAGAGGCGTTGTCCTGGAGAGCCCTGCGATTGCCGGCGAAGTGCCGGAACAGGCACTGTCCGACACCCACACTACCAGACTGTTGAGGCATTCAAGAGGCAGAAGGACCGAAGATCCGGGCAACCAGGATAAACGCGGAAATGACCAGTGGTCATGACCACACCAAGTCCAACGGCAGCAAATAAGCGAAGCACCGCGAGGAGTGTCATGAACACCATCCCAACAGCAACAAAGACAGCCAAACAACACCGTGTGAAGGCCGCCAAGCACCACACAGAGTGAGGCCTGTTGAAAATGTGGTGGGAACGGACACTGGGCTCGAGGATGTCGAAAGCAACGGCTGTTATTCTGCTGGGTATGCGGCAAAGTGGGCGTCAGGAGTGTCGAGTGCTGCAAACGATCGGGAAATGGCCAGCGACCTTAGCCGTAGAGAGGCGAGCGGAGGTCGCATAGTGCTACCTTTCCAAACTAACTGGCAGGCTAATCGAGGAGGAGCCGCAGTTTCTGCTCTAGGAAGGAGGTCAAATTCAGCAACAAACAATTGGCCATAAGCCTGTTGATTTTACCAGGAGTAGTGCATCCGTTGGTATTGGGATGGAACTTCCTTACACAAGTCGGAGTCGAAGTAAAGTGTGCTGGACACGACATCACAATACCAGGCAGGAACCGACACAAGTAGAGGAGAAGCCATCGGTAGCAGTCGTTCAACAGGCAAGCGAGGTGAACTGTGAGGAGTTAAATAACTCCGCTCAAATAGTCAAGGGGTGTGCATAATCACTGTTCGGGCAAATCACGAAGGCCAATACGGCAATTTAATTCCAACTAATAATTCGAACAGACGAGAAAAAAACTTGTGGACACCTTTGTTTCCAAATTGAGAGTGATCCACTCAAATTTATTCAAGCTCTTCTAGGGCCATTAAATGAGTTTTAATGTTAAAATAGCGGTTCTTGCGAGTGCGAGGGAGCGAAAGCTCTTTTTAATACAAGAGCAGAAGTTCGACTTCATGAGATTTTAGGTACTAATTGTTAATTGTTTTACACAAGTCAAGGCCGCGTTGACAGCATACAAATGCTTCAACTAATAGGAATAGGTGCAAGGCGGTGAATGGAGCGTTTATATAGACCCGATTTGGTTCTGACTAATCATGTCCTGAAACTCCCTCTACGACTACGCCTATTAACCATAGCTGGAGGGGAAAGTTGTCTTCGTGGATTGCCACCACTGTTCCGATCTGAAGATTGTCCACGTCTTTGGTCCATTTTCCTCGCTGCTGTAGGCTCAGAAGATAGTCCCTCGACCAGTCGTTCCAAAACCGCTGTTTGATTGCTGAGACTAGCTGCCATCTCTGCAAGTACGAGAGGTTGCCATTTGCCTTCGGCTGCGCGGATGCGGGCGGCAGTGTTTCTAGCGTTGTGCCTACTAGCAGATCAGCTGGCGTGACAACCTCTCCCTCGTTGGGACTGCCACTGTCTACGATGAGCGGCCTCGAATTTAGGACGGCTTCCACATCCACTATGACGGTATGGAGCTCGTCCTCCGTCAGAATAGCGCTGCCCATAGCCTTGAGAAGATGATGCTTGGCCGATTTTACGGCCGCCTCCCAAAGGCCGCCTATATGTGGCGCTCTGGGAGGGATGAATTCGATGGTGAATCGGTGGGCCGCAGTATACGACATGATGCTCTGGTCGTTGGTGTCGACAGGTTCCAAAAGCTCCTTCAGGATTCGGGCAGCTCCCACAAAATTCGTGGCGTTGTCGCAATAAAGTTCGACAACAGGACCACGACGACCCACAAACCTAGATAAGCATAAAATAAATGTATTAGACGTCAAATCTTTCACAATTTTTAAATGTACAGCCTTGGAGGCAAAGCAGACAAACACTGCTATGTACGAGGTGTGTTCAAAAAGTAAGGTGACTTTTCAAATTTCGCGGGCAACATATTTTCTATTATCGATTTTTTTGTTTTGTTATATTGGTACACTCTTCCCTAACATCTGTACCAAGTTTCAATGGAACATCCTCTTTTGTTTGGTTGTGAGAGGCGTAAAGTTACAAGTTATTTTGCGAGCTCGGCGATTTTTTGCTATCGAAAAATATGGATCAAAGGATTTGCATCAAATTTTGTGTAAAAAATAAAATTAAGTGCTCTGAAACACTTGAAATGTTGACAGTGGCATACGGTGAAACTGTTCTGAGTAAAAAAATGTGTACAAGTGGTACAAACTCTTCCAAGATGGCCGGGAAGATGCCAATGACCAGCCTCGCTCTGGACGCCCAAGCACGTCAACAACTGATGAAAACGTTCAAGCAGTGACGAAAATTGTTTTGGAAAATCGTCGAATCACTATCAGAGAAGTTGCTGAAGATGTCGGTATATCGCTTGGCTCGTGCCATGAAATTTTTCAAACGTTTTGGGTATGAGTCGTGTGTCAGCGAAGTTTGTTCCGAAATTGCTGAATTTTGACCAAAAGAACCGTCGCATGAGCATCGCTCAAGAGCTGTTGAATGACGTCAACGACGACCCAGATTTACTCAAAAGGGTCATAACTGGTGACGAATCATGGGTATATGGTTATGATATCGAAACCAAAGCCCAATCGTCCCAATGGAAGAGCCCAGGCGAGCCAAGACCGAAAAAAGCAAAAAATCGCCGAGCTCGCAAAATAACTTGTAACTTTACGCCTCTCACAACCAAACAAAAGAGGATGTTCCATTGAAACTTGGTACAGATGTTAGGGAAGAGTGTACCAATATAACAAAACAAAAAAATCGATAATCGAAAATATGTTGCCCGCGAAATTTGAAAAGTCACCTTACTTTTTGAACACACCTCGTACATCTTGATTGGCTGCTCTCCCCGAATTCCAAGTGAGACTCTGACAGGCCCAAAGAGATCCACTCCGCTTACTTCAAAGGGTCTATTTCCATGCAATCGATCTCTTGGTAAATTACCCATTATCTGTGATAGAAGTTTTGGTTTATAATGAAAACAATGAACGCACTGCCGTAAAACGGTACTGCACTCGCGACGTGCGTTAATAAGCCAAATCACTTGTCTGAGAAGCCCAACCAACGACCGGGGACTTCAAGTACAGGATCACAAATTTGCAATTTTTAGGCATTAACAAGGGGAATTTAGCGTTGTCAGCAATGGGGGCATGTACTAGACGACCACCTACTCGCAACAAAGAGTATGACGACGTTCCACACTGTTCAGCAGATAGAAAAGGATTTAATTTTTGAATTCCAGCACGGATATTAGCTCATTTTTCTAGTTTTACAATTTCTTCAGCAAATGCCGTCTTTTGAATAGCTTCAACTACTTTAAGAAATTGTGTTCCAAGCTCGTCCGCTGACGGACAAATGGAATTCCAAGATATCTTTTTTTCGGTTGATAAATCGATACATATAAGCCACAATGCGAACTACTTTCAGATATGACGATGACCTTTCTACAATTAAAATCGGGTTTAGTTCAACATCGGCCGCGATGAGAGCAACGCGTACCGTTTTGGTTTCTAGTGCTGCGTCTGTTTCTGATAGCTGAAAATGAGAATTTATTGGCCAGCACTCGGTTTCCTTCTGTAAAAAGCTAGAACCATTATAAAAAGCTAGGACCATTGTACCAAAATGAGGTATTTAGCTCATCCACAGAGCATCCTCGCGAGACTAAATCCGCAGGATTTTCCTTGGTTGGCACATGCCGCCAAACAGCTGATGACACAATGTCTTGTATATCAGCAATTCGATTAGAGACAAATGTAGCAAGCTGAGATGGATGAGTTTGTATCCAGTAAAGAACTACCTTAGAATCGGACCAAAGGACAACACTATCGACTGGAAAGGTAATGATGTTGCGAACTTCTTCCCAAAGCTTTGCCAACAAATGCGCTGCACATAGCTCTAGTCTGGGCACCGTCTTAGTTTTTAAAGGGGCAACCCTAGATTTTGCTGTTAGCAACTGCACCGACACCCCACATGGCTCAACCACTCTAACGTAAAGGCAACACCTGTAGGCCCGTATAGAATTTTTATACAATTTTTCCAAAAATGCATATTCATTTTTTAACAGGTTCCACTTCTTTTCAAAGTCTTGGGGCACAGGGTCATCCCAGTTCAGACTCAAAAGCCAAGCCTCTTGCAGAAATATTTTCTATCTGGTTATTATTGGGCATAACAAACCCAAAGGATCAAAAAGTGTGGCGATAAAGGACAATATTGATCTTTTTGTAACCACCTGATCTGTGTATACTTTCCCAACGCCGTACTTGAAAACGTCAGTCTGTGGATTCCATGTCAATCCAAGAGTCTTGAGATCTTGAAGATGTCCGTGTAAAATTTCCGCATTCGATTTGTCGCTTGCACCTGTTTTGCAATTCGAAGCCCATTTTGTCAAAATAAAGCCCGCTGGTTCCAGGATCTCAATTAGCTCGCGACGAAGAACAGCCATTCCCTGCTCTGTGTCCAATCCGGTGAGCAGGTCATCGACGTAGAAGTCCGTGCCAAGACATCTTGCACCTTGAGGATGAGATTGCAAATGGGTCTCACTAAGATACTTTAAGCATTGTGACGAACCCGCCTAGGAGGCGTGTACGCCACAATGGCTTTTCTTATCTTTATGACAGTTTTAAGAGAAATTACATGGAGTTTAATGAATATTAAGACATAGTAAGATTAAATAAGTTATATCTAAGTTCAAATCCCAGGGTGGCAACGCTAACCGATATTTAGACGAGGCGCATTTAATACTAGAAAAGCAAGGAGCTAAGATACCAGTAGTAGGAAAATACTAGAAATCCCGAATGCGGGAAAAAGGAGAAAAAGGGTACGCGATCACAAAATAACCGGACAGCGTGGCTTTTCTCGGGATCGCGGAACCAGGCAGACGTGTGATCGGCACACGGCTCAACGAAACTTCGAGGCTCCACGTGTAGTCCGCAAGTTTATTCGCAAGGCAGGTCAAACGTGACGCCCAACGCGACCTTTCACAGTTCTCCCATCGTGAGTGTTCCGCCGTTTTGGATTTGGCCAAGCGCCACGCTGTCAATCGCGGTTGAAATTAAAGAGGTTGGTACGAAATAGATTCTCATACGCTCAGAACGGTGGAGCGGACTCGGGTGAGGACAATCTCAATAAAGTGTTACGATTGTTTAATCATATCTCCCGATCGTGTGTATTTCATTTTGTAGTTAGCAAAGTTACGTAACCTTCTTCTCACAACTACTTTGGGCCCGAACACGGACATATTTCCCGTTCGCCACTGTAGCCGTAGTTTTTGCTCCTAGTAGTACCTACGGACCCGAACGCGTAACCCTTCTTGTTCGATCCAGTAGTTCCCCAACCTCCCTTGCGTAGTTTGGGATTCGAGCGTGGACACCCGTCCCGCCGGATCCGTTCTCCGGTAGTTTCCCTACCCTCTTGCGTAGTTTGGGATTTGCGCGTGGACACCCGTCCCGCCGGATCCGTTCTCCGGTAGTTTCCCCACTCCCTTGCGTAGTTTGGGATTTGCGCGTGGATACCCGTCCCGCCGGATCCGTTCTCCGGTAGTTTCCCCACTCCTTTGCGTAGTTTGGGATTCGAGCGTGGACACCCCTCCCGCCGGATCCGTTCTCGGGTAGTTTCCCTACTCCCTTACGTAGTTTGGGATTTGCGCGTGGACACCCGTCCCGCCGGATCTACTAACCTAGTGTCTGGTCTACGTAGTAGTTTGGAGACTGGCACGTGGACACCCGTCCCGGCCGGTCAGTCAAGTCGAATCCCTCTGTCCCTTTACTATCCGGTCCCCTCCCAAAGTAGGGGGAGGGAGGACCCGAAGGTCCAGCCCGGTGGATCTTCCCCCCCTGACGCAAGATCCAGGACTTCAACACCCTCAAAGTATTCTCCCGGCTCGGCCTCGCCCGAAGGTCCAGCCCGGTGGATTTTTCGCCTTTGACGCGAGATCCAGGACTTCGACGACCACCCAGTATTCTCCTGGCTCGGCCTCGCCCGAAGGTCCAGCCTGGTGGATTTTTCGCCCTTGACGCGAAACACAAGACAAGGATTCCACGCGTCCACGTTTCCGTCGACACGGACAAGAACCTTCGGTGCAGACTCCCCATCAAAATCATCCGCTCACCTGTAGAACGAAACTCTCTAGTCCGGTGTTTCGGTGATTTACAAATTTCTTGTAAAGGACTCTTGGATCCGACTGAGATCTGTACCCCGGCCGAGAAAACATCCTTACAGTATCTTACTGCTAGAAATAGAGCACTTGCTGTTCCATAAGTAACAGTATTTAGGCAATAAGTTTTTAAGGGGCTGGCAGCATCTGTTCTCCATACAATTAATTGAAAAATTCGTTGCGCCTCGTCAACCTCCAATTGACGGTACATTTTTGTTATGTCTGCAACCTAAGGAGAGTGGAATATAAGCATGGCTGTATTGTTGGTCCTACCATAAGAATAAGCGATTAATCATTAAGCGATACTTGCGAAGTAGTCTTGCAAGATGCATCAAATACCACTCTAAGCTTAGTGGATGCGCTTTGAGGACGTTCTATACATTGGTAGGGTATAAAACAATGCGAATCCTTCGGAATTGAACCCTCGATTGCAGTCATATGTCCGAGAGCCAAATACTCTTCAATAAATTGATTAAACATTAACTGTGTGTTCGGATTTTCAGTTAATCGTCTCTCTAACGACAAAAAACGCCCCACGTTGGGCTAGATTTAAACGGTAAGGATACTTGCAATCGACCTTAGGGTAAACGAACAATTGTTTCTCTTTTTTTTATTTTTATACCCTTGCAGAGGG